TTTGGAGTTTGTACGTGTTTTGTCTCTAGGGGCCACCGTAAGGTGCCATCTTCAGTCTCAGCTGACTGCAGGTTTCCAACCTTAAACAGGACATTTACACAATGACTGAAACCAGCACCACTGAATGAACAATGGTTTGCATATCAGTTTATGATATGCAAACTGTCATGACCATTGATCAACAACCACTGATCAAGAAGGTCACGTGATGACGAAACGTTTCTCACACTGAAAACGTCCAGATGAACAGAATCAACTTCTTGGGATTTCTGAGCAACTTTAGGCTCATGCAGAGGTCACATCAGTTGGCTTTGTTTGGTCCCTGCTGAAGACTTGGTGGTTTGAAGTTGGCGTGTGTGAGAAAGAGTGAAAGAGAAATAAAGCTCTAACTATATATGAAGCCCTTTATGAGTTTGCACAGATGCTTTTTGTATTAAAATGAGTTCATTCACACTCTGAATCTGTTCCTCGTGTTGGGCCTGATGGCGAGCACATCATTGATGTTTATGAGACAGCTCAGATTCATCATGTGACTAAACAGGAAAACAAAGAATTTGTACAGCTTTTGTTTTTTTCTACTAACAAAGAAGTAAAACTCAAACATACATATATCATACTCGTCTGCTTGAACCTTGGGTCAACACCTGAACGTGGAGCAAGGTGGAACCAATCTCCACCCACTGATAACATAAACCATAAACCTTTGAGCTGCAACACGTCACCATCAGCTGACTTTAAAGGTTTGTTTTCGTCAACTGAAACCAGCAGAGAGCTCAGAGGTCCATCAGCTTTAACAGAAGCAGGATGAAGAGAGGAGCCCAGGGGGGTCTATGTAATGCTGGACTGGAGCTGGAGGACATGACAGGAAGAACCGTCCAGGTGAGTGGGATTTTCCTCATATGCAGCCAGCTGGAGCTTAACTCCTCAATGCTTAAAAATATTTGTACTCATAAAAAACTTTATTGGATTGCTCGGTGGGTGTCTTTAACAGAATTTAGCAGAAAAAACAGTGTATCCAGGTGTCCTCAGGTATCTATTTGTCCTCAGGAATCAGGGTGTCCACAGGGATCCAGGTCCTCTGTGTCAGCAGCAGCTTGGTGGGTGTCTTATTACAGAGGTCGCTGGAGGCAGAAAAGAAGAAAGCTTGCAGGTAAGTCCAGCTGAGCTCAGTCG